CAGTTTAACGCTACGCGTACCGCCTTGACCGGACTGTGCGGTATCTGTGCAGTTCTGTGTGTAGAGAGGTCGGGCCGTATTAATTATTTCTTGGGGGTGCATAAATTGCTCTAATTATACGTACGCGTGTAATGCGCAAGTTTATTGTGACGGCACCAAACCCATCCCACTCATTGTTCCCCTATTTTCATAATGGTACTGACCCAATAAAATGTGCAGTGCGCTCACGAGTACGCGCTGCGCTGCGTGTGTACATGTACTGTACTTATGCTCAGTATATGCATAGCATTACGTACATGACATGCATACACGGCTAGCTGGCACAAAACCCTGGGTCGGGCTTCTAAAAAAATGGGACATGAAGCATGATTTGACATGAAAATTGACGGGGCTAAAAATGAATCAATCAAAATGAGCTTTATAATAAAAGCTTACGTATCATACGTCATTGTCTGGGATTGAGGATTTACAAATTTGACGCAAAACGCGTTGCTGCAAAGTTAAAGATTGGTATATTGAAAGGCAATCGAGCACAGTGCGACCGATCAATGGACATTATGTATGAGAAAGTAAAAAAAATAAATGGATTGTAAAGTTCAACGTCAAAATGACGGAGGTTTTTTTTTCAAGTAAGGGTATGGTTTTACATGGAATGTAAAGGAAATGTTTCCTTCTTCTCATATCTCGATTGAGGATATTATACTCAATTTCGATTTTTAATGGTAAAGAAAAGTGTAAAAAGATGTCGAGAATTTTACAATATGTCATATAAAATGCGCGCGGGTCGGTTGATCTCCCAATAGGAGCGCGAAGGAATGGATATGGAAATAAATAAAGGCTTAATGGGAGTTGGTGCTAGATGGATGGAGTTGGTGCTAGGCTGGACGGGGTTGTTGCTAGGCTGGAACATAACCAACACGAAAATGCCAACAAAAAAGCCAACATCGGCATTGGCTGAAATACGACGTAAGAAGCGCTGTTTATTTTTTGTTTATATCGACTTTTTCAAATTATGTAATATTTGTGGTGGTACACAAGTATTATAAATCGGTATATTTATGGATATTTCATACTTTAAAGTCATATACAGTTCCTTATAATATGTTGGTATTATGCTGGTGCCATGGTGGCGCGAAAATAATGAAAGATAAATTTACGAAATGGCGCGTATTTACTTACGAAATTGATGAGTAAGTACATGTGGGACTGCTACATTAGTATAACTCCCACTGTCCATTGGTTTGCATTTGCGCCTTCATAAGTTTCCGTATGTATGGTTCTCTATGTACCGTGCAGGACGCAAAATGAGCTACATAATGAAATATTCGATTAAATAGCTAAACTAACAGATATTTAGCTTACCTGATAAAGCGAGACAGACTCCTACAGTTACTGGGTTTTTGAAGAAAGCGCTGGCAATAATACATGATCCACACAACACTCCGCCTAACATAGCGACAAGACGATGGTTGATCTTTTGCAGAACGAGTGTTACAAAAGGACCTAATATGTTCACAAATAAGGAGAAAGATACTTAATTAAAGTTACACATATGCAAACACATGAGGTAATTACGTGCAACAGTAAACACTGTTTTTAGAAACGTTTACGAATTCCCCATCATCCAAATGTCACAGTATTACTTACATGAAAAAAAATGATTATACCATATTGCTGCCCGAATATGAGGTGACGATTAAACAGATAAATAAGGAATTCCATTCAAGGTGGAGGAGAAGGATGACTACTAGGACGAAGAGCAAGAGGAATGGGGATGGGGTGGGTGGGCGTATATCCTACCTCTTGCATTGTCCCCGGTAATGTCCTTTGGCAAGATATCAATTTACATTTGCCACGTTCTACGCAGGTAATGTTAGTGGGTACCCTGTTAGGGAATTCGAACAAGTGCAATTCGTCATGCTTTGTCTTACTTGCAATCGCCATTTTAATTCATTATTACAGGCCTACCACTAATGTTCAACAAGAAGAGCAATAACAAGTAATAATACTTTTCACCAATAATAACGATGATGATTATCGTGATGACTGTTATTATCACGATAAATATTTAACTTGTTGATGTTGCTGTTAGTATTTTCATAGTTTGTTATCATTTTATTCTCCTAAATATCATCATCAATTTTATTATTATTATTATTGTTATTAATGGTAATAATACTATTTTAATTATGAAGATGATGATGATGGTGATGATGATGATGATCATCATACGTAGAAGTATTCTTATCGTTTCCATCATTACTTCTACATCTACTGCTACCTACCAATATCAACAGTTTGTACAAACACATTTTACTTACTTAAGAGGTACATAACTGTTCCAGGCAAGCTACATATCAATCCGACAGTAGCATAATCTGACTCCAGACGCTCGACCATTGTAGGAATAAAAACACCGAAAGACTTCGCGATGCCATTTTCAAGAAAAAGTACGACGAATTTGCAAACAACAATCCCATATCCCCAATACCACATACTGAAGCTTGATATTACTATTTGTACCCTAAATGCATAAGTATGATTAATCCAATCCAATCAAATCCAAAAAGTATTTGATTTGGGCCTGGCACCCCTTTTACGTCACGTTAACAAAGCGCTGCAAATGTCGATTCACATGATATGGTCACCAAAACAAGATTTCACTTAAAAACAGGGCCAATTAGGCCAAAAAAATCCGGTGTTGTATAGCAAACTAGATAGGATTTCAGAAATTCATTGAACTGGACAGTTGAAGCTGACTTCCAAACAGGTATAAAGCTCGTTTCACAACTTTTCAGCAAACGAGAGATCATTCTCCTGCGAACAAACGTCCGTCAAAGTTGCTTTTTGAGCCGATGATTATTTAAAAATTAGGTTCACGTTGAGTTTACGTTATTCAGTGTGTACAAAGAATAGTGACGCGTACGTTACTCTTTTGAAACAGCCATGAGCAGGGGAGAAGTCAAATAAGGTTATTCAGACGGTTCTTCTACTGTATTCTTACAGCACACCGTCTCGTGGCAAAGTGCAGGTTGTTCCTTAAAATTCCCATCAGCTTCTCTTCAAACAGGTTTTCATTAATGTGGATCTAAATGAACATTAGAAAATAGTCGTATACATATCAACAACTTGGGAGGAACCTAAACAAGAAACCGACATTTGGGCTACAATCGATTTTAAAGTTAAAAGCAGTAGGTCTGTATTGCGAAAATTGACGACGAACTTGCAATATCAACAACATGCAAATACAAGTCAATAGAAATAGGATGCATGAATGCCTATGGGACACATAATGCGTAGTCCTGGCTTCATCATTATCTATGTAAGGCCCCATCTATTCAAAGATCGTTTATATACGACTGCATTGCAATACAATCGAAAGAGTTATCGGAATTTTGAAGTTGCAGGAAACTAAATTACAGAAAACTACATTCGTTCTAAGATTAATCCTAAAGCATTTATCCCCCCCCCCCCCCAAAAAAAAAAAAAAAAAAACTTTGGCCGTGCCGTTCATAGCGTAGTATACAGTAGGACTGGCTTGTCGACAAACCTAGGTTTGTTATTTGTCACTGATGACAAGTTTTGTGAAACACCCCCATATGGCATCTCACGTAAGGTCGAATATTTGAGCTCATACTTGTCAGCTCTCAGCTCTAACAAATGGTGCCCTAAAAGGCGTCTCTCATTAAAAGTCATGGAATAATCTTTGAAGAAAAAAAAAACGTCTGGTTAAAGTTGATCGTAACAGACATGAACTTAGAACGTCATTTGCATAATGAAGAAGAATTCCCATAAACTTCGTGTTATTATAAAAATGTGCTTGTCTGCATGGTCATGACTAACATCTAAACGAAATGTGGGCGCAATTTGGTTGATTAGTTATTGAAATATGAAAATCCCGACGCACAACAGCGAATGACGGTGAACGCATACACACTTAAAATAGTTGGGCAAAAAAATGCCCAACTTTTAACCAACACTGAGCAACATACGGTCCACACAACTATTGGTTAAAATCTGCCCAACTGATGTTGGGTAATCAGTTTGCTATGTGGTTGGGCAAATTGAATTGCCCATCAGTTGGTGACCCATCATATTTTACCCAACTCTACAATTGCCTAACAGTTGGTTATATTTTCAGTTGGGTAATTTCTTGCCCAACCAATTTTACCCAGTTAGATATTGCCCAACCTTCTATTTGCCCAACTTTTGAGTAAGTTTAATGTTGGTTAATTAAATGCCCAACCAGTTTTTACCCAACTCCCAGTCTGCCCAACTATCAAAACACCCATCTATTGGGTAATAATTGCTCAACAATTTCTCTGCAACATCCATTTGCCCAACTCTCAAAACACCCATCTATTGAGTAATAATTGCTCAACAATTTCTCCACAATATCCATTTGCCCAACTATCAAAACACCCATCTATTGGGTAATAATTGCTCAACTATTTCTCCACAATATCCATTTGCCCAACTATCAAAACACCCATCTATTGGGTAATAATTGCTCAACTATTTCTCCACAATATCCATTTGCCCAACTCCCAAAACACCCATCTATTGGGTAATAATTGCTCAACAATTTCTTCGCAATATCCAGTTGCCCAACTCTCAAAACACCCATCTATTGGGTAATAATTGCTCAACAATTTCTCCGCAATATCCATTTGCCCAACTCTCAAAACACCCATCTATTGGGTAATAATTGCTCAACAATTTCTCCGCAATATCCATTTGCCCAACTCTCAAAACACCCATCTATTGGGTAATAATTGCTCAACTATTTCTCCACAATATCCATTTGCCCAACTCTCAAAACACCCATCTATTGGGTAATAATTGCTCAACTATTTCTCCACAATATCCATTTGCCCAACTATCAAAACACCCATCTATTGGGTAATAATTGCTCAACTATTTCTCCACAATATCCATTTGCCCAACTATCAAAACAACCATCTATTGGGTAATAATTGCTCAACTATTTCTCCACAATATCCATTTGCCCAACTCTTTAATTCGTCTGTTGGATAATCATTGCTCAACATTTTTTCCATAACATCTATTGGCTCAACTCTTTTTCTCATCTAAAGGGTAATAATTGCTTAACTGAAACACAAATAACATACACAGTAAACACATGTTGTTGTTTTCATCAGAAACGTAAAAACAAAACTTGTTAACATCAACTACAACATTACAATTTTTGGTGAAAAAAATACAACCTTTTAAAAAAAGTAAATGCAAATATAGCCCCTGTTTGGTGCAGCATGACAACTTTGATGTACACTGTATGTATTCCATGTACTCTGATTTCATACATGAATATGTGCATCATATATATTTTGTGGGTGTGGCATAGTGTTCATTTATCCTGACACACCAATACTCTGCCTTAGAGTGTTACACATGAACACATTTTTTTGAAGTAAAAAAAAAGAGGAAATAAATTCAAATCCCTCTAGATTATTTGACATGTGCAGAAGTACCACATGAAAGTTTGGCTATCTGTGATGGTGAACAGGTACTGATCAAATAACAAGGATACACACTGCCTACTATAACTTTTTGATTAGATTAAAGACAACAAAAATCAATTGACCCTACCTGCTATACTCAGTTTGATTGATTTTATTGATATTATCAATAATATCAATACAATTTTGCAAAATGTAGATAAAAATGTTGACTTCTCTACTTCTGCTTTGCGCGATGTAAATTAATGCATGCAGTCCATTCAGCAGAGAGTTCAGCGTAGGGTCAATGGACGATACACATTACATGAAAATTAATGGTATATGTAATTTACAATCATATACCCCACTTGCTTTTTTAAACGCAGAAAATATCATAGCTCATGTTTTATGAAGAAATATATCATTTTGATGTACGAGTTATGAAACAGTACTCTTGGGATTAAGACCAAACACGATAAGCATTTGTATACGCCAGTGCAAAAGATTTATAGCCAATAATATGTTTTGTATTTATACTTGGCATATATTCATTTGTTTTCTTAAACTTTCAAGGTGGGGATGTTAAGCAATGATTGGGATAAAACAATTAGGCCTTTATCATTTTTAAAATGTACACAAAGACTTCTGCTGTGTATAAATTCACTCTTTTTTTTAATATTATTCAGCGATCCTCACCCCACCCTCAAATCTTCAGTCTTACACAAACATGTCTAAATTATGTAAAATAATGTGCTGAATCCAACTCATAACAGTTTGTCTTTAAGGTTATTTTGTCCAAAATAATACTTTTTTCCAGTTTTTTTTCTCCCAAAATAAACTGGTTCAAGTAGCCAAAATGTGCTAAACGATGATGTGTCAGTTTCATCTGTAGGAAATATATCACCAGTAATCATCCTTGGCGTGAACACATCATGATGGCTTATGGCATGTTCATGAAGGCTCGGACCTCCCGCAGCTTTGGTGTAAGATGCTCCCCATCGGTAAACTGGAACACCACAATCTGGAGAAATTTCCAAACAGAACAGCTTTGCGGCTGATATTCGATATCCATCACATAAAGTGCCTTAAAGCACAAGTCGACTGCTTTAAGCAGTGTTGCGGCAGGAAGTATCCTCCTCTCTACTACGACGTACGCCTGTATTGGTGTGAGAATGTTCCCACGCACAACAACAAATGGCTGTGACCTGACTGCTTCATCAATGTTATCAACATAAGTCTGGATGTCGAGAACCTCCTGTAGTCCAAAGAGAAATCAAGAAGAAATCATTTGTAATTATATGGATTGATATATATATATTTGATGCTTGTCGAATGCTTCTGCTTATGAATCCACAATCACCTACAGGACACCCAAATTTGTTTATGCATGTTCATCCCTGTCCCATCAAAACATTACTGGGTATTCTTAAATATCCCTGCGGCAAAGGTCAACTGTACCCAAACTGGTCACGTTCAGAGCATTACATCAACTAAGCTGGAAGGCATATACAGCCTGTTAATATAAGCATGCATTTTTCACATGTCATTTGCAGGTTAAAGGACTTGCTTGCATTCATGAGTGAAATGCGATGTGATGACAAATCTGAGGCCATTTGTAGTTGTACCACAGATAATGACGAACTGACTTATTAAGATTAAAGCGCCTAGTGTTGCCCCTGCAGGGCCTCCTTGGGGACCAGCGTGCCCATTACTAGGAACTTGAAAATGGTTGCTTTTCAAGTTTTACACAAATAAAATGTTATGGCAATGCCTTATCTGGTAAGAACATAGGTATTGCATTTCAACCTCAATTTCATCAGTTGTCCTAGGTTTGAAACTCTTAACAAATTAACTATTGAATTTGTTTGTAATGAAATATGATTACTATGGCAAGATTTTAAACGCAAACCAAAATATATGCCTTACATGTCATTACTTTACCACCTCCCCAGCACATATACTTACTGGTTGAACGTCAATGAAGGACGACAATGTTTCTGCAGTGGTGTACGTTCCTCTCTTGGAATCTTTCCTTCCTCGGAACAAGACTGGGAGCATGTAGAATCCAAGATTGCTCTTTTCCTCTAAAAAGAGGGAAACAATGAAAGAGTTAAGTAATTAAGTCCCAATTACATATGAAGAAAAGGTGCAACAGCAAACAGGTCAATTATGGAACATCTTACAAAATGTACAGTTATATACAGCAAATTAAAAATAACGGTCGAATACAACAATTATTTTCTACAAATATGGGTAAAATCACTCAACGTAAATGTCAGTCAGTAATTTGGAGCTCAGCTTTCTGAGTAAAGAAAATCAAAATTGCACAAACTTCAGCATAGCCTTCCCAATGAGCTTTAAACCACCATCCCCACCCCAAAAAGCAAACAAACAAAACAAGCAAGTAAAAGTATGCTAAACCTTTGTCATGGAATCATGTTTTTATCATATGTTGTACATGTATTATATGTTTCAGAGCACTTTTATTTATTTCAGTTCAATTCCTTACAGGGGGGATATTAGACTCAATGTTTGGTCCTGGCCACAAAAATAAACATCATATAGTGTAATTGAAATAAATTCTTTTGACTTTCTCTCAAGTCATTTTCACTAATACTGTCAAATGTGTGTTCTGACACCACATACCAAGACTGAGTTTCCCAGGGTCATGAATGTTTTCGAATTCGGCTCTTGCACTTCTCCAGTTGCCAGTTTTCTCGGTGAAGTCCACTACTTTGTTACAGAATGTGGGCCACTTCTGGTACAGTGCGTTTGCTTTCTCTGGGAACAATTCTGCAAAATCTCCTTCAATCTGTAATTGTTAGGATAGTTATAGAAGCCAGATGAAAGGTAGGATATCTTTCATTTGCATCTTCTCTTTACCATTTTGCAAGGATTTGAATGGTACACACTAACAATTATCGGTTCAATAGGGATGCACGATTTCTGTAGGACCGTGTATCTCAGATTGTTAAACGATCCCTTTAAGGAGACTGCTAAAGTAAACCTGCCCATGCAACCAAAAAACAAAAAAGTTACTTCTCAAAACATGCGACTCTAGTTTAATTTAATGTCCTTTCTTGTCACATGCAGAAGAAAAATCAAGGTCCACATACCATTCCAGCATCGAGAAGTCTGGGATATGTGGTAAGAATGTTCTTCACACAACAGTCACTTCTCTTGATCCAGTCATGTCTTTTTGTTGCTGTTTGTTTCATGTAGTCCTTCACCATGTCCTCTGGCTCCTTGTTGTTACGCAGCCATTCTTCCATTGTCGTGATGTTATCATCGTTCACAGACTCAAGATCGGTATCTCCTGGATATAATGCAACAGAACAATCAACAATTAGCATGTATCAACAAGTTTTTGATGATTGTATTGGAAGGGGGGTTTTAGTTGGCATTGCTCATGCCCCACCAGTTTGTTATGGCACAGCATGACTTCATCAGACGGATCTGAATAACTCAAAACTTTAACTATATGAAAAAGTAGCCAGAATACCTTGCTTTTGAGACTCTGCCTCGTCTTCAGCTACTGGTACCCTCAGGGACTTCTCCTTTTTTCTGACATACCTCAGATGCTCCTCCAGGTAGCCTGTTGCTGGCCGTCCCTTGGCCCCCACGCAGTACCAGGCCTCCTGCTCAAATAAATTAAAATTCCTTCATAATTCAACTTCAAAAACAGTAATGCTCAACAACATTTGTTAAACATTAATAATAATCAAATAAAAGCACAATAAAATTCCAGTGTAAACTGTACATTTACATATTTTGTTACATATGTCAGTGTTTGCAATAACAAGGTTTGTCCTCTTAAGTACCTATTTCTAACTGCACACTGTTATATTCCAGCAATGTCATCAAGTCATTGCAAAAACAAAGTGAATGATGGATAATTCTGTGAATATCCATTACTCAATGGCATGCAGACAAAAGTCTAAATATTAAGAGATGTGTCATTACTGGATAATATAACTTATAAACAAGTGGTAAAAATAAACAAAAATATTGCACGATTTAGTGATTGATGCCATATTAGCTTTTCATTATTTGTAAGCTTTTCAGGCCTGTCTACTGTCAAATTTACTATTGCCAGAGATGCTCTTACAATGCTTGTGATAATGTGATACAACATGCAATTGATTGAGCATCTCCAATATAATAAATACAAGAATAACAAAATTGAGGAAGCTTCATAGCAAGTTACACAAAATAATATGATCCAGTATTCCAAAAGTTATTGCATAAACACATAATTTATTTGATTTAGACCTTAAAGTAGCTTATTGCTTCTGGCTCAAACAGAAACTTCTCATAAAATTTCACTTTCTTGTAAATGGGGTCTGTGGGGTAGGGACAGATGGAGGTATGGATGGACAACCTAAGAATTAAGGCACCTCCAAGTAATAAATGCCCGCTGTGGTAAGAATCAATCCATAAATCAGTCCAGAAAAAAGTGGTGATCTGAGCCATACCTGAGGTCACATTAAGGAAAGCAATTCATGGACAGGACTTACATAGCCAAGTGGAGATTCTGGATCTTTTAAGAAAGGAAAGCTTGTCACAATGGCATGGGCCATTGATGCCTTCACAAATGAGCTTGGCTTGGTACCATACTCCCGTATCAGGTACTGAGTCAACATATCCACAACAGTATGCCGGTCCCTTTTGCTGCAGAGATTTGTAGCATTGATGTTCCTTAATGCTGCTCTTCCCATGGTGGTCTCTCTCAATATACAAGCAATGTTCTGCAACAGATAAAGGATTTTTTGTTTAAAGATCAGTAAATTCAGAATAAACAAGTGAAATGTGACAGCATGCAGTCGGTGGGTATATCTCTGGCTGTCCGACCTCCTACAATAAGCCCATCATAAATCACTCACTGGGCATTCCTTGCAAACTTTGTTCTGATAAAAAATTTCAATGAAACCTTGAAACTGACCTTAGACTAGCTTAAAACCCATAACCCCAACCAAACATTTTCCATAACATTCCTTTATTCATTCATACCAAAATGTACCTACCAAATCATATCACTAGCCATTCTGCAGATGTAGAAATAAAATGGTATTTTTAGTAAAAACTTGAATAACCTTTGAACTGACCTTTCACCTTTGAGCCCTGCTGCTTGTCAGAAATACTGACAGACAGATAACTCCAAGACATAATGCCTCTGGCACCCTTATGTGTTGGAGGCATAAAAACTGATGAATGATGGTGACTCGACATGCCCACGCTTCAATTGTATCAGCCCACTATATACATAAACTTACGAAATGCACTTTCTTGACCCGTTTCAGGGGAGGATGTTGATCAGGACTCTTGGATTCTGGGGAGTCGTAAAGTGGCGTATCCAAACTGGGCTGGGAAGGGCTTTGTCTGGGACTCCACTCACTTCCTGTTACACAAGAGAGATCTGAGCAGTCATCTAAGGAGAACACTGATGGGCTTCTTGTCGACGTTGATGCTTGTTCCATGCTTTGTTGATTTGCAGCATGATACTACAATAAATAAATGAAAAATAATTGAACTTTCAATGTACATGTAAATGACTGATTATTCTTTACATTATTAATGACACAAACAGCCCCAGGTTAGACTTTAGTATCAAGTTTATTCCTTGAAGGGGAAAATCATTCTCACTGTTTCTGTACCCTTGTCCTATTTAAAGCAAACCCATAATTGAAAAGTGGTCACTCATGAGCCGAAGCTTCTTCAGTACATCTATAATATAATAATATCCAGTTAGGAACTTTCACTTTAGGCAGGAACATGCATTGGTAAAAAATAGCACATTTCCGGGGCCTCAATGAAGTACATATGCTAGAAAAACTTGGCATGAGTCATGGTACATTTAAGAAATTACAACATAATATGAATGAATGCAAATATAACAGACACATTTTCAGATACAGAAACAATGAAGTTAATAACGAGTTAAAAAATTCAAACCAGATATTTACTGTAAAAATTGTCATTGGAATAATCAAATTTGTTAGCAAGTCAGTACAGATCGATCAAGGTTAGCTTCTTAGCTATTTTTTCAATCAAAATGTGTAGAATGATACACTAAGAACTGATTCATAGATATAATTGTAATTGGAATAACAGTTTCTTTCTTTTGCTTTGTTTTGGTTCTGTTCTCTAAGACAAAATTTGCAAGTGCACCTGTAATGTCTAGTTGTAAAAATATATCACTTGCTTGCAACGGGTTGCCTACACGTACCTTCTTGTTCCTAGATGAATGAATGGTGCACCACAATATACAAGCAGCGCCCTCTTCCACTATAGGACTGGACAGCATTGACTGGCCTGTGATCAAACAGGTCACACCATTCAACAGCAGCTTGTGATTCCTCTCTGCCCACCTGTACTGCAAATGCTTCAACATGTCTGTTGAAGTACAAGGTCTGATACAGCCGAAGGAGCAGATACAACTTTTCTTGCACCACTACAATATGCTGAACACGTCCAAACGTGGGTCCATCATCATCAGTCCAATATAGAAGTACATCAACACCTGCCCGGAACTCATATCCATGAATGTCCACTTTCCCAGCAACTGTAACTTCGGTTCCCCTTCCACAGTTAATTTTTTTGCAAAGTGCCTCATCATCAAGTAGATCACCAAGCATTGCTGCAGCTTGCTGTGACACATTGATATCTTGGCTATCCAGTGACTGATTTGATACTGACCTGTAGCACCGTGCCATTTGGTATCTGTTAGCCAATGTTTTGACAATGTTTTGGTAGTTGCAAGATACACTGGCAATCTGCTTGAAAGGTCTGTGCATTGCTTCAAAACGCAATGCTGAATACTGGGTCAGTGGCCCAAGGTGTTTCAGTGCACGTGGGTAATGCACAAGAAAGTGCTGCTTCGGAGTTAGACTAGCTTCAGGGAAGAGCTGCATGAAGAGCCTGTGGTGATCATCAATCATTGCCTTCAGGACATAGATGGCAGACTTACTGATACTGGGACTCATAATGATTTTGAAGATGTCAATGATTGACAGTAAGAGTTCCCACTCATCACACATCTCATCAATCTTGTCTCCTAACATGAGAGGGATGTTGTATGCAAGGCACGTCATCTGTGCTGATGTCTGTCCACTGGCAGAATATGGATTCTTCAGTGATGCCTGCCTGATTGGGCTTGGTCTGTTTTTGCGGTCCACAAAGCCAAAATTGAATGAGGATATTCTACTGTTCACCTCATCCAGTGTTATGAAACCCTTCTGAACAAGTTTACTCAAAACAAGGTGCATTTCCAGGGGCAAGACTCCCTCTGTAAAATCATGCATTACATCTGGACATAAGTTTTGGGTGGAATGGTAGTAAGGCAATTCATTCAAAACTGTTGCATGCTTCAAGCCAGATTCTGACAAGGGCTTTTGAAGATCTGTATCATAGTTTATTTCATCACGGAGATATTGGGCATCCTCTTTTGGCTGTTTCTGAAGCAACGAGCGATGGCCTCTACAGAATCTACAGTAATAGTTGGCACGGAAACAGGTTGTACATCCCAGCATGGCATGAATGCCAAGATTGTCCCCTACAACTTGGAATAAGTAGGGTTTGACCCTACCCTCAAACTCTTTGCACTTGATAGTGAGTCCATCAGTCCACATCTGCTGCAGATCATCCTTGATTACCTTCAAAACTTCTGAGATGCCATATTTACTCAAAAGCGGAGATGTGATCATAGCTGTGAGCATGATATTTTCTAGCCTAGCCTGGTATTTCCTGGGAAGGGATAACACACTTGTATAAAAGGCACTTACCTTGTGTTTGCCGCGTTTTGACCCAAGCGGATTGGCTGTCTCAAACTCATCATTGTACAACAACAGAGGCACTAAGAATTCACAGTCTTGTCTAGCAGTAGCTTCCTGCCTTTTATAATAGTGACCATCTTTGAATGAATACAAAACATCATTATCTTTTGATCCTTTTTGAGACAGTATGGCGTTCATTACTCCTGGTCGCTCTAAGTATTGTTTAATAGTGTCAGCTAGTGGTATATATTGAAAGGTTTCTTTTTGTGTGCTTTGCAGTGGATCACCTGTCTTTTGATCAATTTTTGGTTTTAAGCAAGTTCCCAACAACACCTCACAAGGCTGAATGAAATCACCTTTCTCAGAGAAATATTTTTTCTGTTGAGTATCTGACATGAGCTCTGAAAATGGATTCTTTGAATTCTCGAATACATCTTGTATATCAGATCTCAGCTCACTGTTAGCTGCATATTGTGGCTCACTTAAGATATCCATCACATCCTGTTGCACAGTTTGTAACACAGAAATAACCAAATCTTGTGCGGTTTGAATGACCTTGTTGGTGTGTGAAGCAGGCACATTAGTCCTTGCCCTGAGTTCTGCTACAAACTTTGCTGCAATATCAGGTAGTCTCTCTGTTTGCGTTTCAAAAGAGACATCTTCCTGCTCACTGCTTTCTCCAACAAACAATGCCTTTTCCTGGTGCAGTTGTTCCAAATTCCCTTCAGTGTTGTTATTCTTTCCTAGAACAGATCCTTCATAACAGGTTTCACTTTGGTGATCTGGAACTGCTTTTGTAGTTGTGCTTGACGTCTTTATCCGTGCAGCGTGCTTTGAAATGAGATGTTTTCTATATCCCGATAATGTACGAAATGTTAGTCTACATGCCCCTTGCATGCATGTTATACTTACATTTTTCCCCCTGGTTGTTGTATGTGTGTATTTTAAATGATGGAATAGGCAAGAAATATCCCCCCTAATTAAATCAAGACACTGAAAGCATCTGTAACTATCCATAGTGAGATATTGTGCCACATCTAGGGCCTACCTCTGCACGCCACCCAGCGAGAAACTTCAATCGAGGTCCAATCTTGGGTATGAAGGATGTGATTATACTTTCACTTAGAAGGGGAAGGGTTTCCACATCAACTTCATTTTCTGGAGAAGAAGAGGGAGAGATTGATAAATAAGGCTTAGTGCAGCATAAACTGATTGTTTTCATATAATACCACAAACACACGTATGGTTGCGCAAATTAAACAAAAGTATATGTTTTAGATAATGATAAGCTGTAAACATTTGCTCATGTTCCAGCTAAAATATCTTCCATTTTGAATAAATCGCATAATCAATGTTTTTTGTTATTCCACAAGAGTCTATGAAAATCTGAATTTTCAAATGCGATTTTCTCGAAAATTTGGTCTTCGTATAGAAAACTTACTTTTAGATCATACTAGCGAATTGTATCAACTAATTGCTATTTATTTTCAGGTGATGTTACTAACATCCACACAATCAAATTAAGAATGGAAACCTTTTCTAAAGTCATACTAGTAATCACCTTAGTTTAGTCAAATTGTGCCTAATTTTTAACAATGTAGGGGCCTATTTAAAGTATAAAGATTAGTTGCATCAGCAATGAATTTGATTTCAAAGAAAGTCATTCAACTTACCAAATGAATCAGAATGATTTGAGAGTTAGCATAGCGGTCAATATATGCTGATTGGTTAATTAACATTACTAATTCATTGATAATCATATGTGTCTTCTCCATGTGCACTGTCATGCCTATTACTTCAACTTTAAACTGCCATACCGGTAATTGTTTTGTTCAACCTTTTGCGGCTGCCATGATATTGTCTGCATTAGTAGCCATGTTTCTCAGCTTTAGTATGACAAATAACCTAGCTTTATCTGACCAGGGTTTCTCAAAAAGTCTAGCACTCAAGCCTTTCACAGGCCACTTACAGTACCATACAACCATATATAAATTATAGTGTGTTACCTTGAATAGAGGCAACTGACAATTGTTTATCCTAGAAAAGATAATTTGTGGTGTTTAATAATTCTTTTGTACAGCTTATTGTTCAGTGGTGTGAAACATTAAAAAAAATGCATGTGCTGGAACATTTCACTGATATGAAGCAAAATAGGACAGTTAATCCTGTACTAACGAATGTCCTTCCTCCATGTGCACCTCCATCCCAAAATCGAATCAGTTCGTTGGCTTTGCAACTTGCAAGATACTGTACATGTACATGTCCCAAGTTTGGATGGTAATCCGTCCATCGGTTCTAATGATTTCATTGAAATCTGGACATGTAGTAAAATAGTGTACAATTTTGTGGGCATAATTTGGTGGCTTAAGCATCTGTAATTTTTCCATATTTAAAAATTATTTTCAGAAAAAGATTTTTTTAAATGAGAAAAAATGTACCCATGTTAAAAATTGTGCCCATTCGTGTACTACAGCGAGGTCACTGCAATTTCGAAAACCACCACAGCCTCTTGGTTTTGAATTAGGCTATTAATATGGGCTAAAATGTGGGTCAACTGCCTTTTAGTTATGACAAGGAATATCGCAATAGCACATAATTAATAGCCCCATTTAAAACCAAGAGGATGTAGAGTCTATGCTCTGTAAAACAAAGTTAGGCAGATGTTACTGGGCAAATCAAAGTTTGGCGCGTTTTTGTCAAATAATTTCTCCCAACCATTTACTGTATGAAGTTACCTAATAAAAGGTCAGAAATAAGTTGGGTAGGTGTTACTTGGTAAAACTGATGTTGGGCAAATTTTGTCCAACAATTGGGTTATTTTCTACCAACCATGTAGTTACCGATGAAATAATTGGGTAATATTTTTGGGCAAATTAAAGTTGGTCATTTTTGTCCAATAATTGGGTTATTTTCTACCAACCATGTTACTGATGAAATAATTTGCCCAACTAGTGTCGAATATACTACACATTATGGTGAGAATTGGGTGAATTTCCTATTGGGGTAAATTTTGTTGGTTAAAAGTTGGGTATTTTCTTTTCATCCAACACTGGGTAAATCATGCAAAATCTTTAATTTACCCAATAGTTAGTCGGACACATAAGTGCCCTCATGTTGGGTAAAAATTGGGCACTTGCCCAACATTTTTTTAGAGTGTTTGAATTTCAAAGTCCTGTAGAAAATGAAAGGGCAAAATCCTTAACATGGCAATGGGCAAGACAAATTGTCTCACTTTTTGAAATCTAGACTTCTAGATCTACAGGAAAATGAAAGATGATCTTCCACAAAATAATGTTCATAAAATTGTACATTATTTGACAACTTCAATTTTCTGATGAATCATTCAGTTCAGTGTTGATTATTAAATATAAGTAGGCCTAGATCTAGATCTAGACCTAGACTAGATCTAGTATAGTAGGTCTAATACCAATTTCAGATAACAGAGATAATTGTTCAAAATTACACCAGTCCCACGTACTGTATTACTATCTGGGTACACACCTACAAGTATGTGGTCCAATGTATTGGACCCACAGAACTCTTAAATACGTATTAAAGAGTTCTGTGATTGGACCCCATACAACCCATGATCCATAGAAAATGGAGGGTATTGTGTTATGTATGTATTGTAGCAGGTTTTGGCCTTTGGGTTTTGTAAAATCTTGAACAAAATATTTTTAAATATTCATTTGTGATCTAAAATTCATGGAAACAGTACAATTTGAATTTGATATCTAGACCTATATCAATCAAATATTAGTTTGGATTAGTAACACATGCATTAAAAGAGCAAATTTGAGGCAAAGTTTAATAGACCAATTGAATTGAAGCGTATTCATTAACCATTGCTGAGGCATATAGAACTAGTCTACATGTTGCTCATGTGTTATGGATATGGGAACAAGTCTACAGCAAGTACCTGTTGATCATGTTCTAAACTTCTAATCTCAATAAGATGTGAACGTACCTTCTAGTATCTTTAACACTGACGGACATCCCCACCTTTGAACGATTTTGGTGAGAGGGTCTATGAACCCATCTTCACTTGAACTATCTCCGCAGCAGTTGTCGAGCTCCATTTTTAGACCCTCAGGCTCTAGCATGCAAGACTCCGATATGATGCGTATATACGTACGTACGTACGTACAGTACAGGCTGCTAGTTACGTTGGTGCATCATATAGCTCGAGCTCCCGGGCCGGGACGGCCGCGCCGGCTATACCGAGTAAATAGAAATAGTACTGCGCATGGCATGCTGATCGCGAGCGACCAGGCCATGTGCGCGCTACCCCAAGACCAATACCAGGCAAACTTTACCCAAGTCTGGTTAAACGTAAGTCTAGTCCCCATCGAAGGTTTCCACTGCCATTTACGCATGCGCGTAATTGACGATGATAGCGTGTACGTTCCATGATCATTACTTACGTAGATTATGTAACTCTATAGGCCTACATGGTTAAGATGGCTCAGTTTTCACAAAAGATAAATCTTGGACTCTTTCAGCATCAAACTCGCACAAATTCATCGTCGCTTCAACACTCTGTTATTATAATTTTAAAATAGTCTAGAAGTAAATGGTTACAATTACAGGAGAGATAATTTCAATTTTTCATAGCAATATTTACACAGCATATTGTGAGCTAAAGAAAATTGAGCTAAATATATTTGGTAAAAGGCGGTGGTCAATTACTACCCTATATAAGCAAACAAAAAAAGGCGCAAAGTGAAATTGGGTAAGTGGTGATGGGTAATTATTACTCAGCATATGAGCAAACACAAATATGGGCAAAATAAATTGGGTAAGGGGCGGTGGTCAAATAGTACTCAATGTATGAGCAAACAAAAATTGAGCAAAGTAAAATTCGGTAAGTGGTGATGGGTAATTATTACTCAGCATATGAGCAAACACAAATATGGGCAAAATAAATTGGGTAAGGGGCGGTGGTCAATTATTACCCAATTATGAGCAAACAAAAATTTGAGCAAAGTAAAATCGGGTAAGTGGTGATGGGTAATTATTACTCAGCATATGAGCAAACAAAAATTTGGGCAAAGTAAAATTGGGTAAGAGGCGGTGGTCATTTATTACCCAATATATGAGCAAACAAAAATTTGAGCAAAGTAAAATTGGGTAAGTGGTGATGGGTAAATATTACTCAGCATATGAGCAAACACAAATTTGAGCAAAGTAAAATTGGGTAAGAGGCGGTGGTCAATTATTACCCAATTATGCGCAAACACAATTTGAGCAAAGTAAAATTGGGTAAGTGGTGATGGGTAATTATTACTCAGCATATGAGCAAACAAAAATTTGGGCAAAGTAAAATTGGGTAAGAGGCGGTGGTCATTTATTACCCAATATATGAGCAAACAAAAATTTGAGCAAAGTAAAATCGGGTAAGTGGTGATGGGTAATTATTACTCAGCATAAGAGCAAACACAAATATGGGCAAAGTAAAATTGGGTAAGAGGCGGTGGTCATTTATTACCCAATATATGAGCAAACAAAAATTTGAGCAAAGTAAAATTGGGTAAGTGGTGATGGGTAATTATTACTCAGCATAATTATGAGCAAACAAAAATTTGAGCAAAGTAAAATTGGGTAAGAGGCGGTGGTCAATTATTACCCAATATATGAGCAAACAAAAATTTGAGCAAAGTAAAATTGGATAAGAGGCGGTGGTCATTTATTACCCAATATATGAGCAAACAAAAATTTGAGCAAAGTAAAATTGGGTAAGAGGCGGTGGTCAATTATTACCCAAATATGAGCAAACAAAATTTGAGCAAAGTCAAATTGGGTAAGTGGTGATGAGTAATATTCCTCAGCATCTAACAATTACCCAACTACTTGGTAAATTGCTCTCAACTCCTTGGAACGATGTTGTTGCTAAATGTATAATAATTTGGTAAATATAATGCCCTGAAACAGATTGGGATAAAAATTACCCAACTTTGGAAACGATTTCTCGACCAACCATCAGTTGCCCAACGAAATTTACCCAACTCGCAGTGGGAATGTGCCAAAATTACACAACTACAGGCAAAAATTACTCAATCCTAATTTGCAAAATAATGTTGGTAAATTTCTAGGCGAATTTCTACCCAACCATCAGTTGCCCAACAAAATTTACCCAACTCGCAAAGGAAATGTGGCAAAATTACACAACTACGGGGCAACTGGTTCCCAACCCTCATTTACCAATACTGTTGGTAAATATCCGCCCAATAATTAAGTAAAAATAATTGCCCAATATTGGTTAAAACACTTAAATGCTTAAATGGGTAATAATAGCCCAGAATAACGAATTTTTTTAACCAACCAACAATTACCCAACTAAATTTACCCAACATTTTAAGAGTGTAGCGTTGGTCCAGCGCGCTCGACGAACGAGTAACGAGTGATGACGCACGCCTAGCGAACGACAACGCACTCTCCAAAATTGCAAATTTTCAATGCGCCGGCCGTGCGTCCCCCATGCGTCGTCTGTGTGTGACCGGGCCTTAACAGGCAACAAGTAGGTCATATTATACAATGGATGAATGGGAGTGCAAGTCAAGTTATGTCACGAAACCGTACATGTATTTACATCCAGAGAGCGAATTACTCGAAAAATCACTCGATCACTCGATAAATATCCAACTTGATATAAATGTAAAACTGAATGAATGTAGAATGTAAATATAAAGGTATAACAAGTATTTACCCTTTTATTATTTCACACAATTAAATTAGAACCTCTTTTTCCGCACCCCTCCAAAGTAAGGGTCAACAGGGGTCGAATTTGCCGAAGTTACAATGACGGCATAACATCCTCCACCTTATTCTCCTTTTCCTGGCCCTCCTCTTCCCTGCCCTCATTTTCCTCCACCGTAAATTTCCAATAATTTACTTGGGTAATCGTTACCTTATATTCGGGCAACAATGAGGTGTAATCGTATTTTCATGTAAGCATACTTCTGACATTTAGATGATGGGGAATTCGTTAACGTTTCTGAAAATATTGTTTACTTTTACAAGTGCTTACCTTATTTGTTTTCATATTTGTATTTTTAAATTTAGTATTTTGTAATTTAGTATTTGTTCTCATTATTTGTCAATATCAGGTCCAGTTGTAACACTCGTTCTGACGAAGATCAACCATCGTTTTGTCGCTATGTTAGGCGGAGTGTTGTGTGGATCATGTATTATTGCCAGCGCTTTCTTCAAAAACATAGTTACTGTAGGAGTTTGTCTCGCGATATCAGGTAATATAATATATTGCAGTTTAGCTATATAATCGAATATTACGATGCAGCTCATTTTGTGCCATACCAGGTAGGTAAAAAGCCATATTATGGCTTTGTACCTACCATGTATGCCCTACATACACAGCGTTTGCGCAACAAAAGCAGTATTATGTATATCGAGAACTTTATAGGGTTACCTATTGAGATGAGCGAATATGACAATGGCGTACTCCGATCCGCTCCCTGTATTATGTACGGTTTCCATTATATGTCCTATTTGTCAAAACTATCTGACCAACTCCCCCACTTTAATGTAAACAATTTAGGTGAAGCTGATGTTATAAGGCGTCAATGGCGTAATGGAACGTTGTCGCCTGTTACAAATTCTGTATATTCAGGGGGCTAGGCCTAAATCAAAACCCTTTTTGGAATTGGATTGGATTAATCATAAGATTGACTTAGCAAGTTCTAGTGTGTGGTCTTGGGCTTTGTTATTGTTATTATAAATTGGTGGTACTTTTGATTGACACTGGCATCACAAAAATGGCGGTGTTCTCATTCATACAAGGGTTGAGCGTCTGGAGTCTGATTAGTGACTAGTCGCGAGGGGTTCCGTTCACCATGATCGTCGCGCGCTTCAACATTGTGCGTTTCCCTAATTATTCCTTTTTGTAGGGTTACACTGATTTTGGGCAACACATTGACCTAAAGGGGGCGCTATAGCAATAGAGGATTTGGGTTGAGTTGATCAATTGTACGGTTATTAGTTAGACTTTGTATACATCTAAAAGTTGAATAGCATTAATTATGTTCCCGATATTATGTCGGGAATGGGTAAACAACTCCTGGTCCTGAATTCCTGCATTACACAACAGGTGTTCATTTCCGATAAATACGTTAGACAATAGACAGTTTTTCCGGGGACCTCACATTCTCGAGAAGCTATAGACTCCTCCCATTTTCGTCGATGCCTAGTCCAAGTCACTCTATCTATTATGCTTTGTCATTGGTTATATTTAATTAAATGTATAACTCCTCTCTTAATTGGTGGATGGAACTGATCTAGAGGTCGGATGACCTAAAGGTCTTGTTATATATCCTATCTTGTAATTGGTTGTCTTCGTAAGGGTCCTCCTGATTGGCTAATAATATCATATGATATTTAAAGATAAAGGTGAGTTCTGGGTGTTTTTTTTTAAAATCTCAGAGAACCAAGCGAAACTTACACTGAATGTTCAAGATTGCAAATAAATGTAATTTGCCAAACAATTTTGGTAGAAAATGTATACTGGCTGAGTAATGAGCATAGAAAGATTAGGAAATCAAGATTGGTAGCCCCGACACCATTTGTGTAGTGCCATATACATCTTTCTGTGTACAGTGCTTGTTACTTTACCAAGACTGGGCCAAATTTATTATGAATTTGATGACTCCAGGACTTTGCAGTACACACCAATACTTACATACTACATTATCAACTTTTTCTGATCCATTCCCACCTTTCTTTTCACAATGCAATCGGATGACCAGAACTCACCTTTATCTTTAAGCCTCGTCGGGTGCCGGAGTATTTAAATGCCATGTGCGGAATTCTGTAGTTGAGTTATGATACTATGTTAAGGATGTGCTGTAAGTTTCACTCAATCTAAAGGGTGGCCCAGCCTCTGAGAGAAAAAGCTATTTTAAAATGTCCTTAAATAAATAATCTTCGTTTAAACTAGTGGAGCTTCGGCTGACTGGACTTCAACTGTACCGTGTGAGTCAAAAAAAAGTTTACACCTAGATAAATTGCTAATTATTTTTAAAATCATCTATGAACAGTAAATTATTATAAGTCTTATGAAAGAGTGTTTTATCCCAAATCATTTGGTATAATTTGTGTGTGATATGTGTTCACGCTTGGATGCGCAGGAGGCATTGTTTGCAAGAGTGCAAAAATCGACTTTCGCCAAAGTGATGCCTATTGCATGTATTATGTTGGGATTAGCGGAGTGAGAGAATGAATTGAATGTATCAAATGAAATGCATTGCATATGCTTTTTGTAGAAGCAGAGTCGCACACGCACACACACACGCACACACGTGATCGTTGATATTTGATATTTAATTATGTGTGGCATGATTAATTTTGTAAGGGATGTTATTTGGATCTGCAAAAACCGATTTAATAACCAAATCCCAATTGCTTTATTTACACATCACATAAGCAACTTTGGCGCAAGTCGATTTTTGCACAATCGCAAACAATGCCCCCTATTCATCCAAGCTTAAACACATACCTCACAAAAACGATACCAAATGATTTGGAATAAAACATTTTTTCATAAGATTTATAATAATTTACTGTTCATAGATGATTATTAAAATAATTAGCAATTTTCTAGGTGTAAACTTTTGTTTTGTACTCACACTGTATATCCGAGCTTCTTTCGTTTTCATTTTGTTTCTGAACTTGTCGTCACCGACCAATTACGGGCCCATTACATTTGTATTAAACACTATTGACTGACTTTTCAATCCCGTCAGACTTCAGCGTGACTTCTTTGTTGTTGTTGTAGTTTTGCAAAGCCTGCACGTAATACATGTTTATACAGGTAATGAAAATGTATTTAAATAAATTAAGTTCGTTACATTATCACGAAGAAAGTTACGCTATCAACTTTATTTTGTTCGGGGGGGGGGGAGGGGGGGAGTGGTGGAATACGATTGCTATTTCTGTGATTGACATCAATAGCTCGATCCTACTATGTTTAAAGACTGCTACACAATTCACTACCCTACGGGGCCTTAGGCTGACAAGCATGGCTTCCACCATATGTCCTTGAATATTTCACTCTTATTTTTTACCATCTACTTTGTGGAATCATGAACAAATGTTAAAATGATGTATGAAAATTATGAAGACAAACATTACTAAAACTAATAATTATTAAAAGTATTGTTAATATCATTATCATCATCACTATTTTTCCGCAGGTGCTGGCTTGTCAATGACCTACCTGCCCACCGTTTTTGCACTGAATGATATATTCCGGGAAAAATTAGTTTTTGTGAACACATTCACGTTATATGGCTACACCGCCGGATCCATGCTGCTCCCTATGGTAACGGAAAGCTCCTTTGAGGCATATGGCTATGTAGGGGCGTTTATTATCCTTGGTGGTATCGCTCTGAACCTCGTCGTGGGCGGTGCAACGATACGCAAGTCATCAAGAAACGGCGCTACGAATGAATGCGAAATTCATGATGAAGTGAAGGATAAAGGAAAGTGCCATTGTGAAAAGGAATTATTAGAGAGAAAGGAAGACAGGATTTATATTCAGGAGGAGGGGGAAGAGAAGGAGGAGGTGGAGGAGAAAGGAGATGAATAGGAGGAGGACGATAGTGGAGAGTGCATTTCGGAGCAAACAGGTTTGATTCAAAACGAGAGCCGTTGCAAAAGTAAGTATGAAACATCAACGAATGCACGCTCAACCTTGACCACACCCTTCTTTCAGACCTGTAAAGGATCTGGCGGAATACTGAACGAAGGTATCTTTCTTTTCTCATTGCCTATTAACTTTTTGGAATATTACACCATGTATGCATGGATGCTTTTTCTGGTCCCCCACGCTGAACATATTGGCATCCCTCCTTCCAAAGCAATCTTCCTCTCTACAATCGGCGGTATAGGGGGCATCATCAGTCGAACCATGTTCATCATCCTCGTATACAAAGGGATCAACGTCTTTGTTGTCTACATTGCCATAGGTGTCATATGCACAATATCCTTTCTGTTAGACTTCACCAGTTCTGTATACGAGGTGCGTGCTACATTGGCCTTTGTCCAAGGGTTCTCCTTTTTCATCGAGGATGCAATTTCGGCGACTTTATTCAAGGAAGCAGTCTTTGACGATAGAAATGTTAATATGGCCATTGCTCTCAGTTCCTTCATGGGAGGACTAGGGGCAACATGCGCAGGAACATTTACAGGTGTGTAAATTTCAGTCCACTTGTTATTTTCAAACATGATCGCAAGAACCTTTGCAAAAAGAACTCAAGGACAATACACCATTAGAAAAGAGAAGGGCAAGTGTTAATATAGAAGGGGCACTTATTAGATATGAAAAAAGGAGCTCATTACAACGTTGAATGTGTCACCTCTCAAATATATAATGAGGGCACTCACCGTAGATGGAGAGAGGCACTTGAAAATGTCACTTATAAATCATCTGTACGACCATGCATTATGGCTCAAGGCAGGATCAAAACCGTGTCGATGTGCTATATTAGTGCCCTTTTGTGGGGCAATAATCCTCATTACTGTCATTCACGACTTAAGGGCGTAAGTCCCCTAGTTGATAAGCATAGTAGCATACACATGCTTTAGCAGTCACGCAAAACAAACACTGGCAAATTATTATTCAATAAATCATTGTCAAAATATTTCCATGAATTGAGGTTAAACAAAAATATTCCAACAATATGAGCGACAGTGTACAAGTATATACGCACCCCTATACGCATGCTTTAATAGGTTATTATCTAACTGTAACTTAGTACGCTTTGTCTACAACTCCCTGACTGATCATTCTAATAATGTTATGATCGTTTTCTAGGTTATCTGTTTGATGTCACCCAGTCGTTTACGAAGGTGTTCATCATCGTCGGCTTCATCCACGCCGTCATGACCGTCCATCTCTTCATCGTAGCGATCCTCATCAAGAGACGACGGATAAGAAACAAGCTTTCAGTTTAAAAACAAGTGCGATTTAGGGGAGGGGGTTCAACCTCCCCACCTTCCCCGTTTTGGAAACCCACGATTTAGGACACAAGTTTAAACATTAATTTGTTTCCTTCTAGGTATTGGTTTTTATTCTTTTTTTATTTATTCATTTTTATATTGATTATTCTAGTACCTAGACAATTGTATTTTTTTTATTATTCTTTTTGGTTGGCTTTGCTTGCATGTCTTCAAGTTGTATCAATTCGTCTGCGCCGATCTTTTGCAAAATCCTACATCCGCCTCTGCTTTAAACGTCTTTTTAAAATGTAATTTGCTTTTTTTGTTGGATGAACAATCTTTACTCTGTCATCTTCCAAACAAATCTTAATTTCATTTTATTTACTCTTTTGTCCTGGCACTCTTTGTATTGTATATAATTTCGAAAGTGCATTTTCTATTCGTCATTTAGTGTAGATGTTGGAAACCGGTACCCCTAATCACAATCTTGAGTATCTGTAATGATATCAGGAATCATGCCTCCAACATTTGTACCTGAATGTTGTTTTTTCCTTCTCATTTGTGATAGAGAATACGGAAATGGCAGGAGGGGTATTTACACTTTGGGATTAACCACCCCCCACTTAAGTTTGTTTATGTGTGTATTATGTGTGTATGTTTTAGCACCCCCCCCCCCCCTTGTGGATGTTTTTTTTTTGTTCAAAAGAGTAAACAAAATTATGCCAATGGCTGACCTAAACAAAAGTGACCTTACCTTTCCCTACGTAGCAAAATGTCAAATTTTCAAATTTCGAGACCAAAAAAAATAATAATAACCACCACCATCAATAGGCATTGTATAATTTATGGTTATTTTCCACTTTATTTTTTTTCTCGATATATATCATGGAATTTAGTTTTGTTCAATTTGAGCGAGAATCAAAGTGTCTAGTAATACTGTTTCCGGTAATTGTTCTTTTGTATTACTGATTAAAATGAAGTTTGTCTGGTTTTGATTAAGTGACAAATTGTTTGAATGGAACTAGTTTTACTGTATTCAGAACGATTTTGTGTTTTTTATTTGGAAAGAAAAGGTTTGATTCACCGGAAAAAAAAAGAAAAAGACAGATTTTTCGAACAACCTTGAGTCGTTGATGAAAACATTTATCATCACAGTTGTATATTTGAAATTTTCTGGGAAATCTCTCTTTTAGCTGCTCGTAAGTGGGATGTAACGGTGTTACGGTAAATAGAGTATTTTTGTTTTCATTCGGATTCCGTTTGTTTGAGATTCGCAATAAAGAATTTGTAATCCTTGGAGATGTAAAGACTTTTTTTGTAATTTATTCGAGTAGATTGTTAAGGGATGAGGATAGTATACATATATAGTATATTGAATGCTACATTAGCACTATTACTGACATTGTTGTACCCCTTGCACCTGTCAGTATGTGCTAAGCATTCTCTGAAACTATCGACATTGTTTTCTGAAAATTGGCGGGTCTTTGTTCAGGCAGAGCGTTCTATAGGAGGGGTAAAAGTGAACATACATATCACATATTATTATCCCTGAGTTAACCTCTTGTTCAAGGAAGTTGGTGAAAATATTGTCAATAAGGGTTGATGAATCAGTGAATATTGGGTCTTTTTTTTTTTTTTTTTGGGGGGGGGGGGTACAAATGTTTTTGAGAGCAATAGAGCATGAAATTATTGACATATATTACACGTATTACATTTTCAAATATTTAGGTTGTAGTCTCCCATAATGAAACCAGTTTTATTTACAAGAGAAGGTGCAGATAATATACTTTCCAGTAAATCTAGAAATTTATTAGGATCGGCTCGGGGTGGTTAGTAAATGTCTCCGATAACAATGTTTCTTTTACACATAATACATTTATCATTGTGTCATTGTTTTAACATCGAGACGAAATTCATACTACAGAAAGTATCTTTTTTTTTAATTATTATTTTACTACAGAAAGTATCTTCCTTTTACCCTCGTTTACTTCACTTCTCACAAATTGATAAATCGGGATGATTTCTGTCAATGACATGACCACATATAACATTTCAGATGTTAAATTTAGTTCATATTAATGACTAAATAACTTTTATGCCAGAATTAGAGTAGCTTTTTGTTTCTCTCAAGAGCCACAAGGCCCTCTTGGCGACGGCGTAAGCTTGCGCCCCATCGTCGGGGTTCCATGGGGCGAAACCTCTAGACTGAATAATAATAATATATACATCTGTGAAGCGCTTTGAGAGGGCCTCCGGTCCTGAAAAGCGCTATATAAGAACTAGCTATTATTATTATTATTAAGCTGTAACAGTTCAGAACCCTCAGGAAGCCTTTCTGAGCGGTAACACCTCTTATACATGCCATTGAAATTTGCACTGCCCCCATTGCATTATTTCGTGAGAAATCAATACTCTCCAACACACGCACTCTCCCTCCTGAAAATAATCTGATATAACAAAGGGTTGTCTTGGATGGGGTTGCTTTAGAACCCCTGTTGAGGTCCAGGGGGGGGGGGGAGAAGTTCCATGACGCTCTCGAGTTATAGCAACTCAGAGCCGTGAGCAGAAGTAAGTCTCATCTATGCTCTGAAAAATTCTCTCCTTCTGTCACGCTCTCGCGTACACACTTTTGTTTTTGTTTTTGGTCAATAGTTGTTGTAAATTGATTCCAAAACAATACAAATCATTTTTTAGAAATAAAGTTGTTTTTCATATTGACATGATTCAATACATTTTCAACACATAGATTGTACGATCGATGAACAAAATAAATGAAATCAGTTGTAACATAAAACAATAACCACATCCAACCAATAACAATACTACCGCCACCATGCGACACACGACACACACAAACACAATTTGGTATTTCAATTTGGGGGCCCCTTTTTATAAGCTCTGCTTTCTCCGGGGTCACCAAACCATTAATGTGTTTTTCTCAAGTATTAATGTAACTTATTTTGATTGTATATATATATATATATATTGATGGTTGAACAAATAAATGAATTGAACTGAATTGAAACACACACCACCCGACCACACTCCTACACATATACGTGGCACTGTTGCTAGCCACCCCAGAATACCCCCAAATTGGAGCGACATAATAATATAAATAATCTATTAAAACAAATAATAATAAAACGAGGCTATAATATGTAACTGCAGTGTTAATAATCCATTAAAATATTCAGTTGTTCCCACTTCTGTACCTCCCTGAAAGATTTCAAAGGAAAGTTAGGGAGATGTTTCTGCCTCCTCCTCTAAATCCTGAATGGTCAAAATGAGAGCTGACATCTTGTCGTCGTTTCTTGATGAGGATCCATACGATGAAGAGATGAACGACCATGACGGCGTGAATGAAGCCGACGATGATGAACACTTTCGTGAATGACTTGGTGACATTAAACAGATAACCTAAGAAATGATCATAACATTATAAGAGGCATTTGTCAAGGATTTGATACAGTTTAGATCATTACCGATGTAAACATTCGTATGGGGGCGTGATCATAACTTATATCATGTAACTCCTATGTATTTCATTGTTTTTTTTAACTTATGCATTTCATTTTTTTTTTTTTTTTATTTATTTTTTTCTTACTACAATTCAATTATTTTGACTCCCATAACAGCCACCTAAACTTTAAACAAGACCCAATAACCCATGTTTGATCTGTTTTTAGGAAAAACGACTTTTCCATATATTTTGTACACAAATCACGAAAATGAGCGATTTTCGAGCTGACATGCAAAGACAAAAGGTCACGTGACCTTGTAACCGTAGGTCCGATTTTCAAAACAAAAAAATCTAAAGTTGCGCAAGACTCGAAAGAAAAAAAGTCAGCGAGCGGCGGGGCGCCATCCATATGCGTTCCCGAGCAATCGAAAAAATCGTGGAGGGGGGGGGGGGGTCACAATGCCCCCCCCCCCGGCCTTATTAGGGTTAAAGTGCGAAAATAACGAGTATTAGTTGTCGACTTAAGAGCTAAATACCCAGAAAGTAATAGTATGATTTTTTTCAGACCATTGTACCGAATGGTCGTACGTTGTTTGCTGCGATTCAATCAATATGATTTTGGCCATTACAAAAAGTGGTTTATTGATGTAGAAAAATGTTCATGTACCCTTCACAGCTCATTTTATGTATGTTATTATCAAAGAAGAAAATAGGCCCGTCAGTCACTCAATAGTGTCTGACAATGACGTCTTGCAAATAAACGGTTTCCCTTGCATAATTTGGATATTAGGACACTGCTAATGTTTAAATTTCACAGATAGGACATACATGACAAATTCAAAATACCTGCAAAGTTCTACATATTTTGATGTTGGCTGTAAAAGGGACATAGTATCTTTCCTGTTAAATGATACTTTATGACTAAGCAGCTGCCATTTTTAATATGATTGTTAAAATCACATTGTACAAAGTCGCCCGACCCATTGATTTTATAAAGAAAACGAAATGAAAATAACAGTAAATTTACTTCTTTAAATATGAAAAACGAAAGTAATTCATTATTAATTGTAATTGGTTTGTTTTACTTGAAACACATATTTTTGTCGTATTATACCAGTCAAGCTTGGCAAAATATGTGGTACTTTTAGCAGAATGGAGATGAATGTAACGATAGACGTGTTTTCCCGTCATTCTCCTTAGAACATATTTTGCTAAAAATAAAAGAGGCACTGTCCAGTGACTTAAGTTTTGATAGGGTGCTGAATGATAGTTCTATGGGATGGTGCATAGGCCTATATAATGATAAGTAAATACAACAAAGCGACAACACGATGGTTGATCTTCGGCAGAACGAGTGTTTCAACAGGACCTTATATGTTGACAAATAATGATAGAAGGTACTTAACTAAGAATTACAAATAAGAAAACATATCAGGTATTCACGTGTAAAATTAAACACTGTTTTCAGAATTCCTTGAACTAGGCAGTTGAAGCTGACTTGCAAAGAGGTATATAGCTCATTCCGCAACTTCGCAGCACCCGGCATATTCTC